TTGAATATCACAGCATTTTATTACTGTTTCACAGTTCAATTGTCTTATTAACATAACATACTTCGTAATATACTGAGATACTTACCTACTTAGTACATTTTTATATTTATTTATAGTATTTTTAAACTTAAAATAAATGAAGATAGGCCCTTTCCACAGTTGTTCAGGCAAGTCTTGAATTCCTGAAACTCAAGCACCCCTCCGACCTTAGCCTTCTGAGCATCTAGGACAGATGTCACGGTATCTGTGCCTGACTCATACCAGCTTTTGTTTGTTTTTCCAAGTTCTTTTCTCTTTGCATGCTCTTCCCCCCCTGCTCTTATGAGTTGGTTTATTTGTTATCCTTCTTGTGAGAAATCTGTAGGTGTTTAATAATCTTACATTTTTAGAATGGGCGTCGCTAGGGTGGATTGGAGCATCTGAGTGCACGGTGAGGCTTACTAGCTACAAGAGAACATTGATTTTTGTCTTATCAGGACTACTGGGTGAAGCAGCCCTTAATAGCAGTTTGGGCTTGGTTCCCAGGAAGGTCTCTTTTTATCTCCTGCCTAGGGCAAAAAGGCCTTCTGTCTTAGTTGCTTTTTTATTGTTGTGATAAGACACTATGACCAAGGCAACTTATAGAAGAAAGCTTTTTAGGGGCTTACAGTTTCAGAGGATAAGTCCATGTCCATCGCAGCAGGGAGCATGGCAGTGGGCAGGCAGGCTCAGAGCTGAACCAATAGCCAAGAGCTTACATCTTAATCCACAAGCATGAGGCAGAGAGAAGGGACCTTGGAAATGGCGTGAGTCTTTTGAAGCCTCGAAGCCTGTCCCTACTGACACACTCCCTCTAACTAGGCCACAACTCCTAATCCTTTCTAAGCGGTTCCGCTAACTGGGGACCACATGCTCAAATATATGTGCTTATGGGGGCTGGAGACCAGTCTGCATAGGTGTGGAGGAGAAGGCTATCTGCCTTCATTAACTAACTATTCTGTTTTCAGGACTCTCTTCTTATCTTCAAGCACACCAGACACCCTCCAGTCCTAAAATACTCCATTTTCCAGTTTTTGCAGAAAAAGATTCCTGGTAGTTTGACAAGAAGTATTCTGGAAATCTAATCATTTTCCATGATTATTTGATTTTATTTTTCTACCATGTGTTAAATTATTACCATGCTGTTCTCCAAAAGTCACAGAACCAACTAGCAGCCTACAGTATGTGTGTGTACGTGTATGATATATATATATGTGTGTGTGTGTGTATGTGTGTGTACGTGTGTGTGTGCCCGTGCACATGTTTATGGCGCCAGGGAGGCATCAGTGTCTTCCTCCACTCTACTCTCCCATGTTTAGTTTTCGGAAGGTCTCTCCCTGAACCTGGAGTTCTCTGTTTCAGCTAGGCTGGCTGGCCTCAGAGCTCCCAGGATCCACTTGACTCTAACTTCCAATGATGGGACGCACTTTTCCATGCCTAGCTTTTTACGTGGGTGCTGAGGACCTGAATTCCTGTGCTCTTTCTTTCACAGCACACACTCCTGCCCACTCAAGCCATCTCTGCAGCCCCTCAGCAGCATTTTAACATGGAGCTTTCTCGTATCAATGTATTCTTTGGCAATTTCATATATGCCTCTAATACATTCTGGCCACGCCCATTCCCCCGTCATCCTCTCTTAACTCTCTCCCACTCCCACAAACCCCTCCTCCCCCACATCCCCATTACACTTTCATGTCTTTGGCTTTGCTCTGTGACCTACTGGCTTTAACCAGGGCTACCTGTGTGGCCATGGGTGTGGAGCTATTGCAGGAGACATGAGTAACTCACCGGTGGCTACATCATTGAAGACAACGACTTCCTCTTCCTCAAAGTTCTCAATAGCTCCCCTGGACAAGGCTGGGCCTCAAGAGCCCCTCCCACATCTGTGACTGAATGCTTATAGGCTCAGTCTTGTGAAGATCCCATGTAGGCAACCACAGCTGCTATGGATTCGTGAGAACCACACCCTTTCCTGCCCAAAGACAGCCTTTCAGGGCTCCCCTCCCCATCCTCTGGCTCTTACGTTCTTCCCATTCCTTCGTCCCATTCCTTCTTCCCATCCCTTCTTCTTTGATGTTTAGTGAGCCTTGGAGTGAGTGGTCTGACTGACCCGTTGAGTCAGTCAGCGTTTTTGATTAGGGAAGCGTTCCTGGCGGGGCTGCAGAAGCAGCTCAGTGATTAAGGTGCAGCACTGCTCTTGCAGAGGACCCAAACTCAGCACTCATCTCAGGTGTCACAACCGCCTGCAATCCCAGCTCCAGGTGGCCTGGCACCCTCTTCTAGACACACACAAATACATACACACACAGTTTAAATTTTGAAAAGATTTCTCTTATAAATGTCCCATGCATATTTAAAATAATTATCAAATGTAATTATTAATGTTCTGTTATGTCAAGTATGTCAAATTCATTAGCTTGTGTATTTAAGTTTATATTCTTGATTACTTGGTTGCCTTCAGAAATTACTGACACAGAGGATTTAAAAATCTTTCACGGTGATTCTTTGACTACTCTCCTTTTAGTCACCACACCCACAACCCTGTTGAAGACTGAGGGCCTCTCACTGGCTAGGCAAGCATCCTACCACTGAGGCTACACCCTAAATCCCTAGGTCTATAATTTCTTTCATTCTGTTTCCTATTCTTTTACTGTCAATAGTTATTGTTTACTTATGTATCTAAGCTAACATATAAAGTATTGAGTTTCATTATGGAATTTTCATACATATATATCTTATTCACCTCTCTAACCAACTACTTTCTCTCACCCCATCTGGTCCCTTTGCTGGTCCCTACCACCCCCCCAGCTTGTTACCCTTCCTGTTTTCCACATGTATTCCACTACAATATCTATCTATCTATCTATCTATCTATCTATCTATCTATCTATCTAT